CACACAACACACCTGTGTGGAACTTCAGATGCATTAGACTTGGTACGATATCTGTGTACGGATGTAGCTCATTTTATGGATTAGAACGGTAATCTATTACAGCCTGAGGTGTACTGAGAAAAATTCAAGTTAGGATGCACTGCTAAGAGTTATAAAACATTAGCAAGAGCCATCTGGGTCCCTCTGAGATCAATGATTAAAGAAGACACTGTGTACTCTAGGACTTCTCCCAGACTGACAATAATTGACTTTTGTGATAGCAGGTGCACAAACAAAGTTATCAGAAATATTTTATTAGACAAAATGTATCATAACCCAGTAAAAAGGAATTATATTCTGAGGAAGCTCAGGTGTTACAGAGAAATATGTTTCACTTCCTCTCCTAAATGAGATTTACTCAACTAATGAATGCATAAAGCTGAAATATTATTTGGATGTGAACTCTGGTTTTAAAAAGATATTGAAAGTGTGGACCTCATGATTCTATTTTTATTAATTTAATTTCTAGAACAACGTGTGAAGCTGGCTGCAGTCCAGGCTGCTTCAATGCCCACATTTAACAATGATTTAAATTAAATTTGAAATTATTATCAATCAATTCTAAATTGGATTCTATTATCTGGATTGTGGTATTATTAGGGATGTCTTTTATTCACAAATACTTGCATTCAATTTTTAATTTAAACCATGCATAAACATGGCTGGTTATTTTTAAGTTTAATGCACTGTTTGAGTGTATAGTTTCTTTTTTTTTTTGTACACTGGTTTTGTACATAAATATTTTTAGTGCCTTATTTGACTGTGTGGTTGTTCATAAAGAAAGTTGTCTAAAAACTCCGCTTCCCGTTAATTCCATTGCACAGATATTGACTGCAACTCACGTAGAACACCAGGAGAGGGCGCTCAAGATAGTGTTGAGGGAACAAGTGACTGGAAGTAAATGCATTTACAAATACTTCTAAGACAGAAAATGCCACATATTTCAGTTTTCACTAAACGGTATCGATAGTGCGTTCGCGCTGAAATAAAAGTTCTTTTTTTTTCTTACAGAAGAGTATAATTTGCAGATGAAATTCTAGCATTCTGTCAATGTTGCTGATTGGTTAGTTAAGGATTTACGACAGGATAGACTCCCTTGACGATACCCATTAATAAGCCTCTACTAGTAATGAATATTTGATTCAGAAGCGAATTTATATTACCACAGGAACTTAAGCGTGTGTAAAACAAAATAAAACAAATAAGTACTTTTTTCTTGTGGTCTCCGTGGCTGCAAGCTTCATGCCTGAAATGAAAATGCCATATACCGTACCGTAAAGTGGCACATAGTGCGGTGACCTACCCAAAGTAGAAAGAAATGTAAGATTTTTTTTTAAGGAATAGCTGTAAATTGTGTCAGCGCCTTAAAACATTATTGGCCCTAGTGAAGGTTACTGTTTACTGCAACTAAATTTGCGTTTCCTGCTCATTCTGGACTATCGCGGGCACGAGCAGAGCGGGTTCTAGACAGCACGGGTGGGGTCAGGAAATTCGATCGCGCCCCTCGCAGCCCCCTTTCCCATTGGTCACTTGGCTGCCTGTGAAGTAACCAAGCAGCCAACTGGCTGTTGATTGGTAGCTGCGTTCAACGGCTTGCACCTCATTGGCTGAAAACGTTACGCTGTCTGTGGGCTGAGAAGTTGGTGATTCTGTTGGTTCCTGGTGGTGAGTAGAGAGATTGAAGGGGCCGGGCCCATAGCGGAAAGAAATGGCGAGTATGGTTAACGAAAACGAGTGTGGAGGGGAAACACAGAGCCTTGAACCACAGGGACCGGGCCGGGGAGCGGCCAGATGGGGTCCACAACACGCCGGTGCCCGAGAACTGGCTAATTTGTACTCGCCAGGTGAGTCGATCCTCTCCGCTGCAGCTCCGTCTAATGGGCATGTTCACCGAGTGGCGGTGTGACATAACGACGGTCTTTATTCAGTCACCAAGAAACAAACTGCTAAAACTACTAAACGAAAAGCAGCAGATTGTATTTAACTGCTCCACTTAAATGACACCGAGCAGTCGTCGGCTGTATGGGTGTATTACAGCCACGGTGCTGTCGTGACACAAGAGGAAATTATGTCAGAGTGGCTGAATTTGTTTTCGAGTGGCTGTGCTGCTTTGACATTTCGAGCATCAGGGAGAGAGGTTATAGAAGAATCCACTGCCTCTGCTTTAGGCTCAGAAACCTCGTCTGGTCACGGAGCTGCTGTGACCTTTCGTATCTGTGCTGTTGTTGGTTGCCAAGTCAGCACACACGGGCTGCAAACACAACCAAAAACTCATGCTCTGAATTGTTTGGAGAGCTCCATCGGTCACCCTGTCAAAACACTCACTGGTGTTTCACGCCCATCATAAAAATGCATTTTCACAATGGCAACTGAAACTAGGTTTTGCATGTGACTGATTAGAAACTTATTTTAGTTCCTGGGCCACATGCAGCCCCCGTTTGATCTTAAGTGGGCCGAACTGGAAACACTGCATTAAAAACACCCAGGAAGTCCTGTGATAGTGGTCATCTGGGCCAGAGAGAAAAACATCCTTTATCCCAGACCATTAGACATTTGCCACTCAAGAGAAGATATTAGTAATGCCTTAAGAAAAATGTGCAACTTCAAAAATATTCTGCTTTTCCACATTTTTTTTGAGTCTACTGTCATTACACGCGCATTACATTTCCACACAGTCACAGCAGGTAGCATGGTTTCTCCTGCATATTAAAAACCTCGTTACTGTATGATTTAGTTTGTCTAGATCTTGATTTCATTTGACGTTTTCAAACATCAGGGATAGATGCTCACATAGAAAAAAAAAATCCCCTGTCTAGAGTCTTAAAAAAATGCCCCAAAAGTAGAGGCTAATGCGTGTTTATTGGGTTATTGGGTGCTTTTGATTGCTCCTATTTGTTTTAGGATACTTTTTCATGGCAGGTTTTGGACCTTCAGTGAGAGAATATGAGGAATAATAATCATAGTATCAGTATTCGGACTCACAAATGTCAGTAAATTCCTGGAAGGAGATTTGACTAAACTGACCAAAACAAAGGCTGACGTCTGCAGGAGGGAAGAACGTCTCATCATTTTATTTGTATCTGGCAACTGGCACTGCATATGAAACACCCGGATACATTATTAACACATAATGCACCAACACAAATGCTGGCAAACACTTAACATAGGTAATGTCGGTTAGGCAAAAGTCTAAATCAGGCCTTAGAGAGAGGGTGAGGAGACATGTGAAGGGAGTTAGGAGCAGAGCAGCTGCTCCCCTGAAAGAGCCAGCTGAGGTGGGTCAGGCATCGTTTCCTAGGTGCCTTCCCTTGGAGGTTTTCCAAGTACGTTCCTCTGGGTAGAGACCCTGGGATAGAACCAGAATTTACTATGTCATCTGTATTGGGAATGCCTTGGGGACCTGGCAGGAATGAGATATGTTACTGGAAACATACTGATGTTCTGGAATACCCGGTGCATGTCTGGAGCCACAAAAATTTGACTTAAGCAGAACAAAACTGATGAATGTTTCTCAACGTTAGGGCTTTCTTAACACCTCAGCACAGAGCACCAATATCACTGATTAACATTTCTGACCAAAAGCAATGCAAATTCACGTTAGGCAAGGAAAGTGATAAAACCACAGACTATGATGGAGCGGGTAGATAAGCCGCCATGTTCAGCTGTGTGTCTGGTCAATAACACAGCTGGCTCATGTTCCCTGCTTTGGCTGTTGAGTGACTCTTTGGTGGCAGAGGGGGTGGGATAACCACCATCTTTAGTGTTGCAGAATTCTCCAGTGGATTTCTGTTCATCATTTGTTGTGTGCATTAAATCTCATGCTTATATTGTCTCTGGGGTGTGCATTCGACTGGTGGATGATAGGGCCACGGCAGACAAGATCTGCTGAAAGCTGAATTAATCAAATGTTTTGTGGGCTAAATTATCATCAGATCATTCTAATTGTTTTTAATGTTTTGGTAAAATCATTATGGTTTCACAAGTGGGGCATGACAGAAAAAATAAGCACCACAGTTTAATGGAACATACATTTGTTCGGGACAGATTTATTGGAGCGTAAGCTGATGTAAATATAAAACAGCCAGTAACAATCAGGTCACACGTTAATGAGGGTTAATGCAACAAACTAGTATTATATTTTTTAATGAATAAATCGAAATGCTCCAAAAATGTGAGTTGGATCAAAATGAGTTAGCGCATGCTCAAAATTTCCCCTTTGACAAATATTAAAATCTGTGGGATAAGCACTAAACTACTGAGTTTTTTAAAAGGAATAAGTCATATTCACCCACTCCTTTTACTAAGATCTAGTCTTGTGGTTTCACAGTGTTTGCTGCTTTTTGGTTGTTTTGTTTCTAGGTCACTAAATTACCGTCTTTGTGCTGTAACATGTGGACAGGTATTTCAGGCCCTGCTGCTCATTATTGTCAAAGAACAGAGGAATGCTGCCACATCAGAGAAACACGCAGAGTCGTTTGCTAACCTTTGAACATCACTGGAATATCTGCACTGAAAACGCTGCAAAAGTGATAGAATTTGTCACTAAAAAGCTCCTGTTTCTTGTTCTTTAAGGCAAAAGATGTCAAGAATGGATCAGTGTCATCCTCTGCTTCTCTCTCATGGCCTTCAACCTCATTTACCTCCTTGCCAATTTCCACCAGGGACATATATGGTCCATCCTGCTGGGCATTGGTAAGTACTAAATTTAAAAAACGATGTAGTCTTCTTGTGTGTTATTATTTGCTGTCTCGTTTAACAAGCTTCTCTTTTTTTCTTCTTTTCAGTGGCAGGTATCCTCACTGCAGACTTTGCATCAGGATTTGTTCACTGGGGGGCTGATACGTGGGGATCGGTAGATCTACCCATCTTTGGAAAGGTATGATTTCCCATCATTTACCTCCAAATAGTCATTTTTCAAAGGGAGCATTTTCCTTAATTTGCCACATATATGCAGGCCTTTATACGTCCATTCAGAGAGCACCACATCGACCCCACAGCCATCACCCGTCACGACTTCATTGAGACCAACGGTGACAACTGCATGCTGACCATAGTCCCTCTAGCAAACATGGCCTATAACTTTCTCACCTTCTCACCTGGTGAGTTTCGTATCAACAAAGCATTATCTCCACCATGAAAATACTCTAATCTGATTAAAAAAAAAATAAAACAGTTTCTTTAAGAAAAGGGCAGGAAGGCAACAGCAAACAAACTACCATGTTTGTCTTCTTTTACCTGCAGCGGAGATTTACTATATCTACCCCCTGTACTGCTACCTGTATGCACTGGCCATCTTTGTGACTCTTACCAACCAGATTCACAAGTGGTCTCACACATACTTCGGGCTGCCTCGTTGGGTCGTGTTCCTGCAGGACTGCCACATCATCCTTCCCCGCAAGCACCACCGCATCCATCATGTCTCTCCTCACGAGACCTACTTCTGCATCACTACGGGTTTGTAGTATTATTTCGTCAGGATTACCCAGACCTTTTCTCACACTACCCAACCAAACTCTGTCTACCCACTTCTACTATGTTTGCATGTTCACATGGAAGATTTGCTACATTAGTGCTTAGTCATACAGGCTCAGAGACTGGTTGTTGACCCTTTGGCAACTGCTGTGCACTAAGGAAACGTGTATTCCCTGACCAGCTGGTAAAGGTTGCTGGCTGTTGCAGGGTGAAAACGGTTGCAAAGGGGTGCTTCATGTCCAGGCTTGCATGACTGACTTTGGGTTGTAATGCTTTACAAAACCTCCCAACAATGAAGCTGCACCTGTGCTGACTTACTGACAATGTGTTTGTCATGAAAACTGCTCCTTGCGCAGTTAGATTTTGTGCAAATACATGTACATGTATTTAAATAAGATCAGTGCACCGTATTTAGGGTCATACTAAGTGTGTAATTATCTAAAAATTGTCCTAAAGTTCTGTATTTAAACAGGCTCTGTTAATAATTAAGCTAATAATCTTTTTTTGTTCCACACTTGGGTCTTAAAAGTGAGTGATTATTTCACCTTGCTGTAATGCCTGATTTAAGGTATCTTCGGAACCTGTGGGCAAAAGAGAGGCTTTTTTTTTTCTGTCTGATTGCAGCCCGCCTGTAGTCTGAGCAAGCTTTAGTAACATGTTTATAAACTGTCTGAGTGGAGAACAAAAAAGGAACTTATTGACCTAAATTCAATTTAGAAACCACTGGTTACCCAGAGCCCGGTCATTAACAGGAAGTTTTGATGCAGGTATACGATATCCGGCTGCACGTGCAGCCCGGAGACATTGGCAGTTGATCGCAAAAGCAAAGTCACAGAGTAGCTGAGGGATTCTCAGTAGTAGAAATATTGGATGTGGTCAGTTAGTGGAAAGGGTTATATTATTACAGATTTCCAGAGCTTATCAGAGTTAAAAAAAAAAAAAGAAGAAGAATATGTTTCAAAGAAAGAAGGTTAGGGCAGGTTTTATAGTTTTCCATTGTGTGTTTATTTCTGTTGAAAGATGGGTTTTGACCCTACATCTTCATTAAGAGTGCTTCACTCAGTGTTATGCACTGAGTGAGTGGGTCTGACTTAAGAAAGACAGACAGAATAAGGGATGTAATTAAAGATGATTTGAGAGTTAATGTTTGTTTTTTAATTCTCCAGGTTGGCTGAACTACCCTTTGGAGAAGCTGGGTTTCTGGAGATACTTGGAGGATCTCATCCAGGGTGTGACAGGAGAGAAGCCGAGGTCGGACGATCTGAAATGGGCTCAGAAAGTCAAGTAACACGGCGGGCTAACTGCACCCTACCTCAGACAACACTGGGTCCGTCCAGGCTTCTCATCCCTTTTTTCCCCCCACACTTAGTTTTTATTCCTATGGACTTACAATCTAACACTTTCTGATGCCATAGCTTTAACTATTGCACATTGTTTTTCTGTTTTTCAAAAGGAGGGCTTTGTTGGTGGAATTTTTCATCACT